CAAGGAGTGTAACTCGTAGTCGCGCTGAGCTGCGATATGCAGCAACACCCGAAGAGTGGTCATCTTTGGGGTGGGAGCGAAGGTCTGGAAAAATTCTACCCCCTCACGCTGACTGAAGCCTCTCGCCACATAGCAGGCCTTGAACACCGGTGGTGATCCAGGCGGCCGCTTCACCTTGTAGAGCCACATGCCACTGACAACGTTCGTCCCAGGTGGTGGGACGTCGTCAACGTAGGTGCCTGTGGACCTATAAGATGCCATCTCTGCCTCCTCAGCTGCTATCCAGTACGAAGCCCAGGGTCCCGAGACCGCCTCGGCTTGAGTGCGAGGGATCAGGATGACAAGGGCGTCTGGATCCACCCTCAGGGGCAAGAAGCATGGCGCAGAGATGAGGAACATCGGCCGCCAGGAAACCAAGCTCGAACTGCCTAGCCTCCAGGACCGCCAGGGGAAAAACAGGGACACCCCTAGTGGACGGAAAACGAACAGTGCCGCTCACCAGGTGGGAGGCGTAGTCAAGGCGGTGGGAAGAGGCAAAGCCAGCGACAGTAGTAACAAGAGCTGAGACAGACGATAGAGGGGCAGTCGGGTGAGTGACCAACGTGGACAGAACACAAGAGACGACAGGACGGGAGGCACGGAGGTAGTCGGAAAACGGGTCGTGAAACACAGTGAGGGACGACTCAGGGGGCTGTGGAAGGACTGGAGGAGGTGGAATACGAGAACGAAGTACAAGGTGAAACGGACCTTCAGCACGGTCAGGCTCTGGAGACACAGCACGACCGAGGGGAGAACGACGAGTCCACGGGGACGAGGCAAGGGACTCGACAGGGGGAACAGGAGGGGACGGTAGAGGACCACGGACCAGGCGTGCAGGTGCCGGGTCGGGCAGGTCTCTCAGTCGCTGCTGCTCCGCCTCCTCCGACGTCTGCTGTGGTGGCGCCTGCCCCTGCTGCTGCTCCTCCTGCTCCAGGTGTGGCTCCTCCTCTACTCTCTCCTTCGGCGACTGCAACTGCACCTGCTGCTGCGGCCGTGACTCCTCCTCGACCCTCTCCTACTGCGGCTGCAGCTGCACCTGGTGCTGTGTCCGTAACTCCTCTACTCTCTCCTGGTGTGGCTGCAACTGCACCTGCTGCTGCGGTTGTAACTCCTCTACCCTCTCCTGCTGCGGTCGCAACTGCACCTGCTGCTGCGGCCGGGACTCCTCCTCTACCCTCTCCTGGTATGGCGGCAACTGAACCTGCTGCTGCGGCCGTAACTCCTCTACCCTCTCCTGCTGCGGTCGCAATTGCAATTGCTGTGGCAGTTGGGACTCCTCCTCTACTCTCTCTTGATGCTTCAACTTAGACTGCTGTTGCTGCTGCTGCTGCTGCTGCTGTGCCCTCTCAAACCGCTCCCGCTCCTCCCTCTCCAACCTGTCTAAATGCTGCACACGGGTCAGGAAACGTACAGTGCGTGGTGTAGGCGTCGTAGTGCCCGTGTCTCCGGCTCCAGCACCCCCAGAACCAGAACCTCTACCGATAACACCCCCAGGGACTCCAGTGCCTCCGACAGGAACACCCCCAGGCTCCACAGCGACGGGTCATAGAGGCGAACGAGGAGGGAACTTCGGAACAGACGGGAAGCCAGGGGGCGAAGCGGGGCGAGGCCGCTGAGTCGAGACAGTCGTGTCCTCCTCAAGAGTGGTCTCCACTCTCACACCCTCTGCACCCCCCGAGTCGGCACCACAGGCTCCAGCAGCCCCAGTACACACACCCTCCGCAGCTGCACCTCCCGCACCCCCAGACACAACAAGAACTAGATGCTGCAGGGGAGAGGACCGCGGAGTGACGTGCGACACACCTGACGGGGCAGGACGCGAAGGGGGGGGGGGGCTACCGGGGCGATTGGGGGGGGCTCAGTGGTGAGGAACAGCGGAGGGGAGAAGGTCTCAGAACCTCGATGAGGGCGACTCTTGTAGTAACTGACCGACTCGTCGAAAGTGACGTCCTGGGAACTGAAGAACTAACAGGTAACTGGGTCGTAGAACTGCCAGCCGGAGGTGTCGAGTGGGAAGCCAAGAAAGATGCAGGCACGGGTGCGCGGAGACAACTTGTTCACGCCAGGGGCGCAAACGTGGGCTAGGGAACCCCAGACGCGGTAGTCAGCTGCTACACCCGGAGAACCTGTCCAAAGGGAGACTGGCATCACCCATGGCCATGCGTCACTAGGCCACAGGTTCAGCTGGTGCGCGGCGTAGCGGACTGCCTGAGGCCACAGGAACTGGGGGGCACCGGCATGGCACATGGAGGTCCGGGCAACCTCCATGACCAGGCCGATGTGTCGCTCAGCTACCCCGTTCTGCTGCGGCGAGTCTGGTAGCGTGTAAGACTAGATGATCCCCCAACCCTGACAAAACGTCTCCAGACGAGTGGAAGAAAACTCACCACCACGATCCGAGTGCAGGCGGAGCCCACAAAGGGCATGGGCGTCACCCCTCGCTAGTAGCCATGGCTCGAGGACGGTAGGCATGTCGGCCTTCCGTTGCAAAGGTAAAACCGTGGTGTAGTGGGAGTAGTCGTCCACCACAATCAGGAAGTAGCGCTCCTGACGTGGGCCACGGACCGGGGAGGGGCCCTAGACGTCCAAGTGCAGTGTCTGGAAGGGAGCAGTGGTGGGAGGGAACGACGAGGAGTGAGGGGCAGCGCGCTGCCGACCCTCGACGCAAGGAGTGCACGGTGGCGCAGGCGAGCGAGGAAGCGGGGCAAGTGACTCTGGGAGACCTGAGACCAGACGGTGACGTACCATCTTACTGAGACAAGGGAACGACGGGTGACCTAGACGGTGGTGCCAAAGGACCGACGGCTGCGTGACTGACCGACAGTCGCACGACACAGCAGCTACCTGACCTGACCTGACCTGACCTGACCCAGTGTGGTGGGACCCAGTGTGTAGTGAGTACAGACCAGAGCCCGGCTCCCTGTGGAAAGTGGCTAGAGGCACTCCTGTGGCACCGACTGTGAAGGAGGCAATAGGCTCGTCCAAAGGGAAAGTGGTGACAACTCCGAGGTCGTGGAGGTGACTGACACCCACCAAGTTCCTAGAGAACGACGGGGTGTAGTGGCCTGTGAGAAACCTAGAGGGAGCCACCGGACATGGGAGAATGGTGGTGCTGTGGGCAACAACAGATCCCATGGAGGGGTCAGCCAAGGCGATGTTAAAGTTATATTTAATATCTATCCTGCTTGCAGTAGTTATTGTAGTGTAGTTCTTTCATTATTTGTTTGGTGGTGCACCTTCTTTGTTCCTTTGCTATATGTTCTTGCAAACCTATATTGAAATCACTCATTCTCGATTCTCTCTTGCACCCGCTTGGCCTAAGCTACTAAGCCTAGGCCCTAAGTTAAACCCGTTTCCTAGCTAAGACACTACCATGACATGTTATCAGAGCAGGTCCCGAACTAGGACCGTTCATCCTTTATGGGCCCACCACTAGCCCTCGTCATGGCGCATCCCATAGCGCAGCCTGTAGTGTGCCTCGTGAGCGCCACGACGATCACCTCGTCGCGCTGCCCTGCTGCAGCTTGTCGCCCGCACGCTACCCGCGCTGCCGCCCGTCGCCTCGTCGTGCCCCCGCTCGTCGCCATGCGCCAGTGAAAACACCAGCGAAATCGTCAGCAGCCCGCCGTTGCGTTCGCCCACGCACATGCGACCCCGTCTGTGACCCGACATCGAATTCGTGAGCCCGCCCGCACTGCATCACCCCATCAACCGCCGCTCCATCACGCTTGTCGCGAACCCCGGCGACCCTGCCCATTTTGGTCTCCCGTCCCGCTCAGCGCGCAATACATGCCGATGGGCCCGCCAGTGAGCACGTATGCAAGCCCGCCGACGTTCCCACCGACGGACCCGCCAGAGACAGCCGCCAGCACCACAGGCGGCTGTTTGCACCAGCACCAGTCCGCACCCTGTCCGTTGCCCCGTCCTCTCCCCGTTCTGCTCGACACGACCCCCGGCAAGCGGATGGCAAGCGGCAAATCGGCCACGCGGTAAAGCTTCTGGAGGACTTCGGAGAGAGGTCGGGGCTTCGAGTGAACAAGGAGAAGTCAGCCCTCCTCCCGCTGGGGTGTAACCTGCAGAAAAAATCGGACAAGGGCACGACTTTCAGATGGGTGAAACCAAATGAAGCAGAGAGACTCCTCGGGGTATGGATCTCGCCCTCAGAGGATGCATCGGTAACGTGGGAGATCACGTTGGAACGAGCGACCGTAGAGTTTGGAAAGTGGCAAGTGCATTACCTGACCACGACGGCGAAGGTGGCGGTGATAAACGGCTACGTGAACCCTCTTCTCGCCTTCCAGGCGCAGGTATACGCCCCGCCTCCGGAGATTTGGGCTAAAATAGTGAAGCCTCTGCACAATTTCGTGTCTGGAAATCACGCAACGGCAGGGAAGTTCTTCGTCCTGTGGAGCTAGGAGTTGCTGTTCAAGCCGAGGAGTGAGGGAGGCCTGGGCGTCCGGGACCCTTTTACGGAGCTGGGGGGATATGCTGCCATGAGAGTGGCGCTCCTGGCATCACAGCAGACTGGCCTGCGCACGGAGTTAACAAGCAAAGCGTTAGACATTCAAGATCTCCAGACGTTCTGGGGGCATGCGAGTCAGATGAAGTAGTGGACGGGACGGAGTGAGAGGTGGAAACGTACCTGCGAACTCTTCCTGGAGTCTAAATTTGCAGAAAGTATCACGGCGTCGACAGTCTGGGAGGTGGAGCAGGAGTTGCTGGTGTTCAACTGCCGACTCCTGCCAAACGGGAAAAAACCTACGGGAAATCAAAAGGCCGCGACGAGGCTTAAACGGTCGACCATGAGAGATCTCATCACCATCAGCCCAGATGGCTCCAGGGCGCTGAAAAGTGACGAAGACATGGAGAGAGCATTCGGGGGCAAGGCAGGAGGGAAGCTGGCCAGACGGATTTTTTATGCGGCCCCGGACGAATGGAAGCAGCTGCTACTGGCGCCGGTTATGGCGGAAAAAAACATGGAAGTATCTAGCTTTGTGCTGAAGGCGGGGACTCGCCATGGCTTGTGGAAGGTGCTCAGCGTGGAGGGGAACTCCCTTGTCTGCCGAGCATTCAGTTGTATCTCTGGGATGCTGGGAGGTGCGGAGGGGCGCTACTACACGTTCCAGCTTCAGGAAGTGGTTCCTGCGGTGGTCCGGGACGGGCGGCTTTTGGGGCCTGTTGGGGTCCCCGAGGCAAGGCTACTCTGCTCGCCCATCTGGGACAAAGACAACCCTACAAAGCTCAGGCAGCTCCGGAAGGGTTTCGCGAGGCATGGAGGAAAGCCGAAGCAGCAATCCATGTGGGAAGAGACGTTGGGGAGGCCAATCAATTGGCGCAAAGTCATCAAAACACGTGACTCGGAGGCCATTCTGAACCGGGCGCGGGATGTGCTGCCCCGAATTCACTGTCGTAATTTGCAAGTGGGGGAGAGGCTCCATTTTCTGGGTGTTGTGGTATCCTGCGCGCACTGTGGTGAGAAGGAAACTCTAGAACACGCGCTTTTCCAGTGCCCGCGCATACAGCCGGTGGTTCGGGCACTCCTAAAGGCAATCCGCATGCTTAATCCGGGAAGGAAGGTCGGGTCACTGGGGGACCTCCTGTTTCAGCGGGGAGGGGCAGGCTTGGGTTTTCCCGAAGCCACCATCACAGCAATCGCGCTTCACAAGATATGGGTGGAGAGGTGTGACACGGTTTTCGAGCGGAATAAATTTCGGGCGAGAAGGGTTCTGCGGAGAATTGCGGTGGCTTTTCAGCTGCATGTTAGAATCTACACATGTGCCAAGGCAGTGAAGCGGAGGTTGGGTGCTGCTCGTGACAGTCTGGACGAGGACGAGCGTCGAATCTTGGATAGAATTCGAGACACATCAGTGAAAACCAGCCACGTGGACGAAAGGTTTCATGTCCTTGTGGTCGAACCCGAAGGCAGATTTCCGTCCCCCATAAAAGGCCAGGGTGGGTATGGTAGGCTCCGGCCTCTAGGCCCACCAGCTACAATTACGACTATCGATGTTTTGTGCACTTTTTAGTGTATCTTTCATAAAAAAAAAAAAAAAAAAAAAAAAAAAAAAAAAAAAAAAAAAAAACACGGGTACAGCGTCGTCACTGCGAAGCTGTGGTTGGTTCTTCGCGTTCATTTCGTTCATCTCGCTGAGGTTCATCGGGTTTCCAATGTGTAAAAGAGGCACACGGAAGAACAGATAGGCATCCCCCAGCCGTTCGACCAGAAAGTCAACTACCCTCGCTACTACACACGGCTGTGCCATCCCTAAGTGCATCGCAAGGGGTTGCTATCTCAAGATGCATCGCAAGGGGGCGCCATCGATGGCATCGCAAGGGGGTGCTATTCCCAGCCTCCTCGTCTCGTCAATGTTGAGTGGGGAGGCGAGCTGGTGGCCGTTGGACTCACGCACTTCCCCAAGCCTAAGTCCGGACTCTTGCGTTTTCCCCAAGTATGTGTACTTAAACCCAGGGTCTCATGTATGGGTTGGCCATGCAACTGCACAACACTTGGGCAAAAAGTGGATTCTTTGTCGAGTCTCGATTGGACAAAACTTTGGCCCCGAATTTGTAAGCCAATCAGACAGGCCCTTTTTTCATCGACTGCACAACACTTGGTCTACTTGAGACCCTGGCTTTAAGGATGCGACTTTGGTGACTGTTTTCCATTCAACAACCACCAACTCACAGCGTGGCACGCAACAACAACTTTTCGACCTACTGTCCAGGCACCATCATGGGCCGCATGGCGTCTCTCCTCTGCGTCCTGCTCTATAAGCGTTGCTTCTAGTCCTGCTCGTCACAATAATAGTCTGGCGTTTTCGGGTTTTTGAAAACGATGCTACTCTGGATCGATGTCACTACTACTACTAGTATGTCCTCATGCTTCGTGCTTCTCTGCCGCCTGTCTGCAGGTGCGGCGTTCTTCACTACCGGCTGCGTTGCGTCTCGCGCACCCGTCTCCCTCGCGCGGCGACTCGGACCTGGCCGCGATGGCGCCGCTGCCGCTGCTGTGCTTCCTTCTACTGTTCAAGCTAGGCGGCGTGGTCTGAAGTGGAAAGGGACGGTCCACGGTGAGTGTTTATATGCCTTCGCTGCATGCTGCTCCTCGCACTAGTAGACGGTGCAAGCGGCAGTGCAAGCGGTAGTACACATATGATGCTAACCTTTCAGTGGAAAGGGAAGGCCTACGGTGAGTGTTCACATGCCTCTGCAGGCTGCTGCTCCTTTGACTTTTGAGTCGACTCAAAAGTCACCTTTGCTTTGCTAGTAGTGCTTGACGGTGCATGCGGCAGTGCATGCGGCATGATGAAATGCTTGCACCTACTAGAGTTTGCAGCTTCTCAAGAGCTGATGCGAGCTGCGGTTGTGATTGATTTAACGCCTGCATGATTCTGAAGCCATCGTGCTTGCCGCCTTTTGCGAGAAGTCCAGTCTTCAGCCCAATCATCTCACCAGCCTCGGCCCCATCCCTCCCCATCCCTCCCCATCCCTCCCCATCCCTCCACATCCTCGCCATCCCTCCCCGTCCCTTCTCATTGCTAGAGAAATATGTGGCCTTGTTGACTACTACCGAAAGAGGTCAAACATTTATTGGTGACAAACATGCATGGGGGTTATTACTCTTCAAGGTGGTAAGGTAGGAACTCGTTTAACTCTTCCAATAGTGAGTCATCATTGTGAAATTGGTGCTGCGCTTTCAGACAATATAGGAACAGCAATAGCTCCGTTGGAATTGCATCATTTCCCATGTTTGTCCTCCTCACGACCTCCCCCGACTCTTCGTTTGTCCTATTCGCAGTTACTCTAAAACTGATTACTACTTTGCCTTCAGTGCTCATATCTGGCACATCCATTCCGGAGGAGAAGCACCCACCCTTTCTTACGGGAAGTCATGCCTCGGGGAGACCGTTAGTACCATTACAAAGTGGAAAAACATGACTCACAACGACCCTGATGCCGGTAAAAAAAAAGTGCTACAGCTTTGTTGTGGAATACGAGATCGGCCCAATCCCCAAGCAGCTTGCTTATGCTATGACAAATCTCGGAAAATATGTACTTGCATCTCATCCAAACAACGAGAAAGCGCTCTGTGGGGAGATAGAACGTGTTAAACGGGGAAAACGGGGATGCTGTCCTTGTGGTAGTTGATGCTTAGCATTCAGTCGTTGTATTGAGCACAGATACATATGGTATTGTGATTGTAGACATGACAATGTTTAGGAAGATTTGACAATGTTTGTGAAGATTCTGGGAAAAATATTGGGGTTTTCAGCTTAGCACGGACAGGTACCTGGACCCCTCCGCTTTCAGGGAACGGGCAGAGCTTTCTGCGCCCGGTTTCCGCAAAATTCTGGGCTAGGTGGGGAGGGTTATTGTTCAGGTCGGGGACTCGAGCTCTCAATGAGCCACGTGTTACATCCTACACAGCTCGCTCACAGTACATCTACAATCACAGATTTTGCACTGCGCCTGCTTGTCTTTTCCATAGAATCCAGCCCACGTTCCGAGTGGCTCGTCAGCCAATTGTTCCCAAACATGTGTGGCGGTTTTTTTCGCCCCAATATACATTGCACCCAAAAAATTGAGAATGTAGTGCACCCATCCTGACCGAAACAAATAAAACCCAATGGAAAGGGATGCGACTCGGGAGGCATCAACCCTAAAAAGAAGGCTAAACATAAGGTTGGTTGGGGTACATAAACCTAACCCTAACTGTGTCAGAAGACTTGCACTGTGAGATCCCCGATTGATCCTTGGGGGGGTTACAGGCCTGTTAGCCTGGGGGGTTATGGGCGCACTGACCCGCTACTGAAACAAGCCCTTTTATCCCAATGGTCTAGTGGTTGGGATTCTGACATGGTATCAGAGCGAAGGTCTCGGGTTCGAATCCCAGTGTGTGCACTTCGGGCATCCCAGTGCGGGGGGGTGTCAGAGGTCCACTGGTGATCCCCGATTGATCCTAGGGAAGGGTTACAGGCTCGTTAGCCTGGGGGGTTATGGGCGCACTGACCCGCTACTGAAACAAGCCCTTTTATCCCAATGGTCTAGTGGTTGGGATTCTGACATGGATCAGAGCGGTCTCGGGTTCGAATCCCGGTGTATGCACATGCAGGCTGTTGCCGCTGTGCCGAGTCCTGGACCTCCCAGTGTGGGGGGGTGTTAGAAGACTTGCACTATGAGATCCCCGATTGATCCTTGGGGGGGTTACAGGCCTGTTAGCCTGGGGGGTTATGGGCGCACTGACCCGCTACTGAAACAAGCCCTTTTATCCCAATGGTCTAGTGGTTGGGATTCTGACAAACTGTTGTACCCCATATGACATACATCACTAAGACTATAACATCTGACACATCCCCATAGCCTAAGCGAGGGGTGTCAAGCAAAACCAACAACGTACCGTCACAAGACCAGTCACAAAGCAACAAAGCTTGATGTCACAATGTCACCACACACTCTGAGCACAAGCAAAAGAGCCACAAGGCCAGTTCAAGAGTTCACAGAGGTATATGTAAAAGCGTACAAAAAAAACAAGCAGAGAACTCAAGACTATGCAAGACGAGAACCTGTGTCAACGAGACCTAACTACACACAACACCTCTGGTGGTCACAAGGCGGAAGGGACTTGGTGAAGATGTCTGCAGTGTTGGCCTCGGACTCCACAAAGTCGAAGCGAGTCTGTCCACGCCTCTGCAACTGTCGCAGAAGAAAGCACCTGACATTGATGTGCTTCACTCTGCTCTCCAGTCGCGGCTCTCGACAGAGGAGAATCGACACCTTGTCAGTGAACAAGGTCGGTGCAGAGCTCGGCCGCTCACCAAGGTCGGTGAGCAAGAAAGTCAACCAACGCAGCTCCTATGCAGCCATGGCTCCAGCGTAGATCTCAGCCTCAGCGGTAGAGGTCGAGACCGAGGAGGAACACATGGACCTCCACAAAATAGCTCCAGAGCCCAAGCTGAAGTAGTACCCCTGAGTAGACCGGTGAGTCTCGGCGTCGTCAGCGTAAGAAGAGTCACAGTGTCCAGTAAGTACGACAGACTGTCTCCCTCCCAGAACCAGCCCCACGCCTGATGTCATCGCTAGGTATTTCGCCACCCTTACAGCAGCTGTCTCGACGATGTCTCCCTGGCGCAACAAAGCGAGTAAGGATACTGAGAGGGAAGGCGAGGTCCGGGCGAGTGCAACTCATCAGGTACATGAGGCAGCCCACAAGCTCTGCATAAGGACCACTAGGCTCAAACGGCTCGTCATGAAAGGGTCCAGTGAGTCTGTGGTCAACAGCAAGAGGTGTGCGCTATACTGTGGAGTGTTGAAGCTCGAACTGCTGAAGGACCTGCTGTGAGAGTGTAATGGTGCGAGCGGCTCTGTCCCTGGTGATCTGCAGGCCAAGGTAGTGGCGCAGCTCACCAAGGTCAGTGCACGTGTGTCTCTTCTGCAGTTTGTGCTTCATGTCAGCCAAAACAACCCTATAAGCAGTGGCGAAAACCAGGTCGTCGACGTAGACCAGTACAAAGAACGGTGTGGAGCCACGACGAACAAACAGCGACGGGTCGGCAGAAGACGGCCGGAAACCAAGGTCAAGCAGGGTAGAACAAAGGGTGTCGTGCCACTCACGAGGAGCCTGACGGAGACCGTAGACCGGTCGCCTCAGCCTCCACTGGGTCCCAGGAGGGAAAGTGCCAGTGAAGGCAGAGGGATGACGCAACCAGACCTCGTGTAGGCTACCCTAAAGGAAGGGAGTGGAGAAGTCGAGAGAGTGTAACGCGTAGTCTCTTGGTGCTGCTACTTGCAGTAACACCCGAAGAGTGGTCATCTTCAGGGTAGGCGCGAAGGTCTGAAATAAGTCAACTCCCTCGCACTGACTGAAACCTCTAGCCACATAGCGCACCTTGAAGACCATAGGAGATCTCGGTGGCTGCTTCACCCTGAAGATCCACATGCCATCGACTACGTTCGCCCCAAGGGGGGGGGAGCCTCGTCAACGTAGGTGCCTGTGGATCTGTAGGAGGCCATTTCTGAGTCCATGGCAGCTCTCCACTGAGAGGCCCAAGGCCCTGACACTGCCTCAGTGTAAGTGCAAGGATTAGGTATGTCAAGGGCGTCGGGGTCTCCCTTAGGGGCGAGCAGCATGGCACAGAGATGAGGGGAAGCGGCTGCCTGGAACTCTAGCTCAAACTGCCTGTCCTCTAGGGCGTCACAGCCAAGGGCTGACTCACCCCCGACGGCCAGAGGACTGGTAGGAGGAGCAGCCACGACACGAGTGGCGTATTCAAGGCGGCGATTAGAGGCAAACTCAGTGACTGCGGTAGTAAGAGCGGAGACAGAGGACAGAGAAGCACGGGGGTCGGTAATAAGAGAGGCGAGAACACGAGAGAGAACAGGACGGAACGCGCGGTAGTAGTCAGTGACAGGAGTAGAGAGGGAAGCAGTGAGGGCTGACTCAGGGGGAGAAGGAAGCACAGACGGCGACAAAAGAGGCGGACTAGGATGGAACAGGACAGTACGAAGGTCAGTGAGAGGGACGAGCACAAGGAGAACAAGAATTCCAAGCGTGAGAAAGAGGAGGGGACACCGGAGGCTGAGAACGGGGGAAAACAGCAGGGGCGGAGTCAGGAGGAGGAAACGTGGGACCATAGAGAAGGGGAGAGGGGGAGGGGGGAGGAGAAGGAGAGGGGAGACCGAGGGTCCGAAGACCAGAGACAGGAGGCAGAGGTGGCGGCTGCTGCTGCTCCTGCTGCTCCTGCTGCGGCGGCTGCCGCTGCGGCTGCTCCTGCTGCGGCGGCTGCCGCTGCGGCTGCTCCTGCTGCGGCTGCTGCTGCTGCTCCTGCTCCTCCTGCTGCGGCGGCTGCTGCTGCGTTTGCTGCTGCTGCTGCTGCCGCTCCTCCAGCTGTTGTAGCTCCAGCTGCTGCCGCTCCCGCTCTCTCTCCACTCGCTCCAACTCCAGCTGCTCCTCACGTGCACGGCGAACACGGGCCTGTTGCCGGTTCCGGTAGGGGTGGGGGGGAGGAGTAGTGTCTGGGGCGGTGGTAGCCCCAGGACCGCCCTCCAAAGCACCAGTCGCACCACCCTCAGAGTCAGCACCACCAGCAGGAACGTGGCCTCTCCCAGACTCTCCAGGTCCAGCAGTGGGTGCACCCGCACCCTCAGTCGTCGCACCCCTGGGGACAGCTCAACTAACATTAGCTCCCCGAGGACTAGAGGCTCCTGCAGGCACGGGCTCAGCCTCAACTCCAGCACCCCCAGAACCAGGACCTCGCACAGGTATGCTCTCAGCTCCAACTCCAACTCCCCTAGAGCTAGCACCTCCAGGGTCCTCGCCACGAACACCGGCTCCCGTAGGGTCTGCAGTAGGATGTGAGGAGGACTGCAGGGAAGGATGCTGCACCTGAGGGGCTACCGAGGGGGGAGGGGTAGCGTGGGACACACCTGACAGGGCTGGACCAGGGGGGGGAGGCTGTACCTGAGGAGCTGGAGGGGGAGCTGAAGTCAAGAAGAGAGGGGGAGGGGGAACTGGGAGACCTCGACAGGGGTACCGGACGTAGTAGGGGACGGACTCATCGAAACGGACGTCACGGGAGTCAAAGAACCGGTGAAGGGGAGGGTGGTAAAAGGTGAAGTCAGAGGAGTCCTCTGGGAAAC